GTCGAGGACGCACACTGCAAGTCAGGTCATCGCGTGCCGATTTGGCGAAGTAATGTCCTATTCACATGATCCCAACGTAAAAGTGTACGATATCACTTCCGTGCGGCGCTGGAGCCATTTTTGTGCGGAGGTGGCTCGTGCACCAAGCGGCACAGCAGTTTCTATACCAATAAAAAATGGGCATGGGAAATGAAATTCAAGTTCTAGTTCAATCGCAAGAAGAGCCGTCGAAGAAAGAAGTGAAACAAACCCGAACACTTCACATATAATAGTTTCAGAGAAAAAGGATGATAAGAAGCCTGAAAATACGAAAGAGGTTTAGGATGGTTGCAAGTGGGTGGGGCCCCCAAGATGTGGCCAGAATCAGCACGCTAAGGGACCATCCTTGGTGGTTTCAACGACATTCTGTCCGCACAAAGTGCAGTGGCAAGCATACTGTCATGCACACAGCCTCTCGTGGCCGCTTCATCACAACCGATGAAGCGCCAAACCAGAGAGAATCTGCACCGCCACGGACCACCAAGATGACGGTGGGTGCCACTGGCGCACTAGAGGATGACGTCACTTGAAATCATTCTATGGGGCCTACCCTTGGCTTTTAATGATGCCTTCAACAACATCGCTTGAAGTCCTGAGAGCAAAGACAACAGGATAAACGCATAAACAAAAGAGTGCTATCTAAAATGAAAGCCTATAAACAAACTAAAAATAATGTGAATGCTGTTAAGTCAACAAAGTATTTCACACAGCATTGCCCTCTCAAAAAAAAACATGGCAGTGCAGCTGGATTGAGGAGCAAATAATGCTGAAGTATTATACTAGTACAAAAGCTGGAACAGAACTGGCAACACAAGAAAGCGCCAAGGTGTGGTGCAAAAGAAGAGTGAGCGCATAAAATCATAAAGAAAGGAAAGGTTGGCCAGCCAACTTTGCCTGCAAAACTAAAAATGAAATAATGCTAAAGCTAACTTATAAACGGCAACACACACACGACTGTAAAACGGAAAGTTGTAATTAAAAAAAAGAGAAACCAAGGCCTGAGTAACACAAAATCAGATGGACTTTTGTCACTGTTTTACCCCACAGCTTCGCCTTGCCTGGGTGGATGGCGTGGTGTTCGGATCGCTTACAGAGCTTCGTCTGGATTCTCCTTCAAGTAGGTGAAACACTGTTGTCGATAACGAGGTCTGTCCAAGCTCACGATAAAGCAGGCTTTGAGAAGAAACCATGCGAGGACGCAGCCTCGATACAGACGCATGCGCTTGACCTTCAAGTCACCAAGTGCGTTAAGCAGGCGGGTGGCGTGTCGTTGCCGAAGAAGTTGCTTGGACTTTCCTCTCTTGCAGAAGCGTTAAAAAAAAGAAAAAGAATCGACGCTGCACAAGACACCCACGAACAATTACTGCTCAGTAAGTCTGCACAACACTTGCCAGCGGAGCACTGCTCAGCAACAACACGGGCCATCAATAATGGAAACTTCAAAACATGCCACACACCAAAACTACACTCTGTCGCCATCCGAGGTGTCACTGGCCGTTGAACGCACCTCTTCCAATTGTGTGGTGATGCGCTCCAGCTCAGCCACTTGGGTGTTGGCGTAGTGGCAGTACATCATCTTCATGCCACTTGCGATGGACCTTTTTATGAGGATGTTGTAGCAAAAAGCGTGCTTGTTGTACTTCTCGGCCCGCTTGTACAGCCGTCTGAGGTCGCGGATTTGCTGGTTGAGGAACCCTATCTGACGGTAAGTGTTGTCAAGTTTGTTCCGTATGGCCGCAGCTCGACCCTCCAGTGTCTCATCTTCGTTGGGCGATACATCGGTAACTACGACGCCACTGTTCCCACTGCTGCTGCACTCCCCATTTGGCGCTGCCATGTTCTGCGCCGCAGTGTGCTGCGCCGCTTACCTGAGCAGCCAAGAACAGGTAGCGGTCTTCAGCCAGCCACAGTGGCTGTGTTGAAATTTGTTCCAGCAAGAGGAGCTTGGCGGCTTCAGAGTCCTCCTTCCTCCGTTAGCTTCCCGGTCTTCGCTGTGTCAGACTGCGGTAAGCTAGTGGTTTGTCCGCAGGGATGGCAGCGCGTGCAGTACCGGAATGGACGCGCCTGTACGCCACCTTGCATCCACTTCTAACGTAACGCAAAGAAGAAACCCCGTGTGTAAAAGGTTATTCTTGCTTTATTTATTTTTAAAAGACAATTTAAAATTTCTTCTTTTTCTTTCTTTGTACATAGGACGACAATCACTGTAAGGTTATCTTACATATGCTACAAGTTTTTTTTTTTCGACAATCCCCCATACTGGGTAAATGCCAGAGTTTACAGGTCACAAGCAAACAAACAAACAAAAGAGGTTTACAGTGTCACTGCACGGTGCGGTAATCGACACTCATTTTCAGAAAAGCTATATATATATAGTACTAAAAAGTTCCTCTCTTCATTCTTTATGTATGACGGCTTCGCGTCGAAGAGTGGTATTATAATCCAATACCTTCTCTAATCCCCGATCATGATAAATAATGTCGCTCGTAGTCCTCTACGCGATTTGGAAAATCCTCCGCACTCCCACAGTGTGGCCGCCTCATGATGAACAATATCACAGTTGCTATAGACACTAAAGACACAATGTTCGTCACTAATAGTTTCAGGAGCAAGTCAATCCACGTGGAACAATCCGGGTTTACTCTTGGGGCCTGGTTTTCCAACGGTGCTTCCGACGCTTGTTCCATATCCGTGCCTTCGAACGTGTCGCCTTCAGTGAACTTGCGCTTTCGATGATCAGGTTTCGTTGGCAGAAACATGGCTTCATCTGCGAGGTTCTGGTGTAGCTCATTTTGAGAACCTTTGTCTTTGAATTTCTTTTGCCTTGACTGTGTACACCTTGGAAGCATCATCCTTCTTCCTCCACCCTGGACTTGATTGCTTCATTCGCCGCTGTGGTCCTGTCTCGATATACTTGATCGGCAGTGAGGTAGCTTGTACGGTCCGCACTCTTCTCCCCCTTGATGTTGGCAGCTTACTCAAGGAGATCTTAGGACTAATACAGGCAGCAGACTCCTGCGCCCTCACAATTTTTCTCTTGCTTTTTTTCGCTTGAATGCTTCTTGTCTGCTTCTGTCAGACGTGTATACGTGCGGCTGAGAGGACTGTACAACATCTGAATCTGTTGCCTTAGGCTTGCATCCATTCTTAATATCCCACGAATACCCTTTTAGATATTTAAAGGCTTTTGCTTTTCGACCATAAAACTTTCTTCCTCCACCATGTGCACTTGAGCTATTCCAACTGTCGTGTCGTTTGCTTCATTGATAGCGTACGCTGACGGGAGTTCATAAGGCGTGTGCTAGGTCTTTGGAAGTAACGGTTCTACGTGTTCTTGAATGCTCGTTACGGTGGTGAAATCAGCTACCTTTTGGCTTCCAGCACGTTCAGCACTTTGTCGTGAGTCGGAGTCATCTAGCTTCCTCAGAAAAAGATTGCTGCTGAACAAGCAGAGGCTGGATGGTGGTGCCAAGAACGAAGAGTGCCACACAAGTCTGCGATCTTATATTCCACTCTGACCTTGGCTAGAATGACCTGGTATTCATAAATCTCTACTTCGTCCATCTCAGTTTCCAAGCGATTGATATGAACTGCGTCTTCTACTACCTTTTCGATTTCTTCAGGAAGTTTATAGTGCTCAGACGAAATTCGATAAATATTTCGTACCTCACTTACTGATGGACGTTCCGCGCGTATTAAACGTTCAATGTTGGCGATGCATTTCGTGACGGCCTTGCGCACATGACTCCGCCTCTCGTAGAGGGCATTCACGATGTGGTCCAGTTTCGTAAACGTGAGAAATCACTGGCCGGCCGCTTCCCGAGGCGAATTTGGAGTCACAACACGCACGACGTCAATGAAGAACCGCACAATGAAGTTCCGGGTGTCGTCGAGATGTTATGTCCTACGATCTGGGTCACTGCATGGCGTACGATTAGGCCTCCTACATCAGCTTTACATATGGCGGCTTCACAAATTAAGCTCCTCGAGGCAACGACTGCGGTGGAAATTTGTGAAGTCCACTCTGTTGACCTCTTCTTTATTTGGTTGGTTGGTTCCTCAACAACATGGCGCAACCCAACTAGGGGATCGGCCATGAATCGGACGGTGCCTCGCTTTTAAAACTAATTCACTTATTGAAGGGAAGGGTTGAATTCGTTAGGAATTACAGGTAATAATTGAAAGTTGAAGAATTTCAAAACAAAGAAAAAACTTTGAAAAGGATGACATAAAAAACGCAAAAAAAACTGAAAAGAAAACGTCTACGCATAAAACAACTGAATTTAGCTACGTTTAGCATTCTATTCTTTTAGACTCTTGTAAGAAATTTTTAACAGCGGTAACAACACTCCTTCTCTAATATCCTCCTCCAATCCCCGATGATGATAATGTCGCTCCTCGTCTTCTACGAAATTTGCAGAAAGTAACGCGTCTAAACAAGTAATCAGATTATTGGGTTGGGCGAACAAAAGGTAAACGGACAACTCGACAGCAGGGCCGCAGCCAGAAATTTTTTCTGGGGTGGGGGGGGGGGATTTTTTTTTTCAATTAACCTGACTGGGGAGGGGGACACAGGCATCAGCTTTTCTCTGTGACGTGACTATCGGCGATAGTTTCTCTGTGACGTGACTTTTCTCTGTGACGTGACTATCGGCGATATCAAAGTCATAAAACTCCCTCTTCCCCATGCGTATGCGTTTGAAGAGAGTAAGTAAAGGTAAAGTAATTGCAGTAGAATTCAGTAAACAGCAGGCACAGTGGCCGTTTGGACCAACGGCCTCTCGTCGCACCACTGAATGGACTAGACTTCGAAAACACATCATTGCCACGACCCGCCCGATCGGAGGAGACATCGTTAATCTCTGTTGAGCGTAGATGGCGTAGTCTTCGTCGGGGTGAAGTTCGTTTCAGAAGCCAAGGACGGCTCCGCTTACAACGTAAAATGAGAGGTATACGCAGCATGTTTTTCTACATTTATTATTACATTTTGGTTTTGCTTACTTTTTCGGAGCCAATTTCTTACTGTCGATGTTTGTGACTGCATGCCTATGGAGATAACTTTTATGTTAAGATCCATATATGTCAAGCAGGCCTGGTCGCTGTGATAGCTTCTGGTCAGCATTTTTTTTTACTTTACTGCGGGCATCCAAGCAAGCTTGCGATACGCAACAAGTAATTTTTTTGCTACGTTATGCTGCACGTTGGCTACACAATTTCGCACGCGTTATTTTTCCGGCAGACTTTCTCGCAGCCTTGGGTGACATTACAGTTGCACTGTGACTTGATAGCAACGGATTGCTCCAATCGCAGAGGTTGTATTGGGAAATCTGCAAGAGCAAGGTAATCATTGTTGAGAAATTTTCACTTGGTCTGAATCGAAATTGCACCTGGGACCACACACTATAGCTACTCACACAAAAATAGCTTGTTCGCTGTATATATGCTCTAAATAACTTATATGCGCGCAAAAACGCGTAATGTCTTTTTTTCGTAGCTTTCGTCGCTATTGTCACGGGGTCGTGACGTGGCCGAAGACAGGAGACTTCGTGTTAGGATTTAACTGTTTATTTGGGCGAACCTGTGCCCGGTAAACTGAAAGTCCAATTACAGCAGCAGTCTCGCACAGATAGCAGTCTCGGACTGATAGCGGCGAACGGAGCGTCGGCCTTCGATCAACTACTGACAAGCGGCGAAGCGCGTCGGCATTTATACTCCCGCCGTCGAATGTTCTAGTGCTACCGCTGGCGGCGGCGTACGTTCCAGAACAATCTGTACCATTCGCACAGTGGGCGTGATCTTATCGAAATGATCTACTACAGTCCGGAACCCTCTCGAAAACTGCAGGCGCGGTTTGCGCTGAGAATCGTGTGTTGTTTTGGGACGATAACAAAAGCTTGGGAAATGGAACGTGGCATTGCCCCCTCTGAAAAAGGCATCGTCTCGATGCTTTAACTAAAGATGAAGGTACAATAATAATGCAAGAAAGTACAATGAATAAATTACAATACAACAATAATACAAAAAAAGCACTGTTTCAGTTTGTTAACGCGCATGAAACGGCTTTAGGCGTGCGACATGGACGACTTCAGGTCGCGATCGGCGTCGTTGAGAGTTCGTGATGCCGTCGGGGACAACCTCGTAATCAAGTGGGCCGAGACGTCGAACCACCCTGTACGGTCCGAAGTACCGTCGCAGAAGCTTTTCACTTAGTCCACGTCGGCGTATCGGCGTCCACACCCAAACACGTTCACCGGGCTGGTATTCCACGAAGCGTCGTCGAAGGTTGTAACGGTGGCTGTCGGTCGTCTGTTGATTCTTGATACGGAGCCGCGCAAGTTGTCGGGCTTCTTCGGCGCGATGAAGGTACTCGCTCACATCGAGGTTTTCTTCGTCGGTGACGTTGGGTAACATGGCATCGAGCGTCGTTGTCGGGCTCCTTCCGTAGACCAATTTGTATGGAGATATCTGCGTCGTCTCCTGCACCGCCGTGTTGTATGCGAAGGTCACATACGGAAGAATGGCGTCCCACGTCTTGTGTTCGACATCGACGTACATTGACAGCATGTCGGCGATCGTCTTGTTAAGCCGCTCGGTGAGGCCGTTGGTCTGTGGGTGGTACGCTGTCGTCCGGCGGTGGTTTGTTTGGCTGTATGCCAAGATCGCTTGAGTTAAGTTGGCAGTGAATGCCGTTCCTCTGTCGGTGATAAGGACCTCCGGGGCGCCGTGACGTAGGACAATATTTTCGACGAAGAACTTAGCTACCTCGGATGCACTGCCTTTTGGCAGGGCTTTTGTCTCGGCGTAGCGGGTGAGGTAGTCGGTAGCTACCACGATCCACTTGTTTCCGAAAGCCGACGTCGGGAACGGCCCCAGTAGGTCCATACCAATCTGCTGGAAAGGTCGGCAAGGTGGATCTATTGGCTGCAGAAGTCCCGCTGGCCTTGTCGCCCGAGTCTGCCAATCTTCCCAATGCCGAGGAGTTTAATGACGTGTACTCGAACATTATCTCAACTTCAGCATTTCAAGAAGACTTAGCAGTATAGGCTCCGAAATGAAAGCGAGAAAAGCGAGAAACATTGAGCATGTCTGCGATGCAAGCGGTTGCCAATTGCTCAGAAGTATTCTTCCCAAACGTGCACCACCTGCTAAAGATTCTGGCAACTCTGCCAGTTAGCACAGCTGAAGCAGAACGCTTTTTTGATCGCTGAGACGCGTAAAGTTGTAGCTAATAGCTACAAAATTACTATAAACATTGTTTGGCATTGCTCTCTGAACTAATACCGTGAAATACAAAGTTCGCCCAGAAGACATTCTCTCTGTTCTTTAAAGGAAACGTATAGACGGCTTCAGCCAAATGTATCAACCACGGGCGCCTGCTGAAAATCGAAAAACAAAATTAACTGAAGTTCTTGTTGGATATAGATTTTCCGAACAGCCGTAAAAACATAGTTGTTAATGATCAATTGATGGGGTTTGACGTCCCAAAACCACAATATGATTATGAGAGACGGCGTAGTGGAACCTCCGAAATTCGCCACATTGGGCTTTTTAACATGCACCTAAATCAAAATGTATGAGCATTGACTATTTTCGTCTACACCAAAAATACGTACGACAGGAATTCGATCCAGTGACCTGTGTGTCAGAAATGGAGCACCATAACCACTGGACCACCACGGCTGGTAAAAAAGATGGTTTTGGGAAAATCCCTATGCGCCATTTTTCGTCCAGCTCTAAGGGCTCAAATTCAACTGATATAGGTACTTTGATGAAAATTGCTGAGGTACATTGCTGAGGCACATTGCTGAAAATCACTTTTAAACATTGTTAATACTTTTGCGCTGTTTGCCACACTGCTGAACCCTACAACTTGTGCTCACAACAGCTGCCCACACTGCATTTCTCATTACGCTGCTTAGGATTAGGCCCACCATCCTTTTATTTATCAGTTTAAGTTACACGATGATCATTATAGTAGGCCTTTCCAAGGTTGTGATCGGCCTGCACGTTTGTCTGTGTTGCACCTACGTCACTATAAACGACACTTCTGAGTATACCTTTAGCGGTTAGGGCATAGTAAAGATATGCATCAATATATTGTACACTCGCATACAAGCAAAGTTCGGTAGGTGACCGAATATTCAGTCGCACGTGTGTGTGTGTGTGTGTGTGTGTGTGTGTGTGTGTGTGTGTGTGTGTGTGTGTGTGTGTGTGTGTGTGTGTGTGTGTGTGTGTGTGGTGTGTGTGTGTGTGTGTGTGTGTGTGTGTGTGTGTGTGTGTGTGTGTTTAGATGTTAGCAGAACGTGCGAAGCCTGGAATGTTCAATAGAAATGTTAGTCTCTGGCTTGAGTGTATCGTCGCACATGTACCAAGAGTCGTACTATAATCTGCTCGAACGTGGCCCATCAGACCTTGGAGCTGTGGCTTTTACCATTAACATGAACCTTTTCCTAGTGAAAAGTATTGTAGCGATCTACTCTGGTGAGATCTGTTGCAGTGGGTACAACTCTGACCACCGCTGCAGTATTAATATCGTCGCCGAGCGAGCTTAAAATGCTCGCGAGACTTTTGCCCAAAATCTCAGAGTGCCACTTTGTCCTTGACAAACACCGCGACAGGTACGTTTCTCTGCATGCAGATAATATTAACTTTAAAAGCGCCCAGAAATGGTATTCTGATAGTAGCACCGGTTAGTTTATAAATCATGTCAGCACAACAAAGCGACGAGAAAGAGGGGAGTAAGTGGCACGGTGGGGTTGCGCGAAAAATGTCTGGGGGAGGAAAAAAGTTGCCCCCCCCCCTGGCTACGCCACTGCTCGACAGCAAAAAAAAATGGTAGCTGGGAGACCAAACGTCGGCTTCTATTCGGAGTTTTGTGACTAACGGATGTCATAAATATTCAAGGTGTGGACAGGTGGTGATGAAATCATGATGGCGATAGTTCTTAAGGGAGACTCGCGAAAGACTACTTCATTCTGCGTGCATTCACGCGGATACGGCTGGTTACGGTGAACTGAAAACATCCAAAGAGTATAGATGTATTTAATAGTGGTAACACGCGTTCATAGGGAGAAGAGAGATTCTCGGCTCCGATTTAGTAGGTATATAAAAAACAGTAAGCATTGATTATTAGGTTAAACGTGGACTTATATGCCAGTGATAGTGACCTCTGCGCATTTCGTGAGCACACACACACACACACACACACACACACAGTCAGATGCCATAACCTGCATTTTTGTTTATGCTACACTTGTACAGAGGTGATACACAGGAACATCATAGGAATATGAACAGGATATATTTTTTTTAATTTCTATGTAACACAACTTCGGTTATGGTGGCGAAACGATGAATTTCCACAATAAAAATTGACTCCGTCTACCATACAGATTCTGCAAGTTTAAACGCAGTCATATACTATGTTTTAAAGTAGAGCACAATGGTCTCGATAGATGTCCCCGTGACAATATGTCAGTTTCAGTCAAACATTTCAAGTTTATCTGATGAACCTTAAGCGTACGGAAAGCTTGATTGATTTGATTTGTGGGGTTTAACGTCCCAAAACCACCATATGATTATGAGAGACGCCGTAGTGGAGGGCTCCGGAAATTTTGACCACCTGGGGTTCTTTAACGTGCACCCAAATCTGAGCACACGGGCCTCGACATTTCCGCCTCCATCGGAAATGCAGCCGCCGCAGCCGGGATTTGAACCCGCGACCTGCGGGTCAGCAGCCGAGTACCTTAGCCACTAGACCACCGCGGCGGGGCGGAAAGCTATAATGCAAACTGAGTCAGACCCATCACGGGTGCTTTGTCGGCTGTAGTGTTGTGCTGCTATAAGCACATGGGCACGAGTTCGATTATCAGCCGCGGCGGCCGTGCATTGGTGGGGCTACATGCGAAAACTCCCGGTCACTTAGATTTAGGTGTACAGAAAAGAACCCCACGAAACCCAGGTTGTTTCGGATTGGTCCAATACAATGTGCCTCATAAACAGACTTTGGTGTTGGCTCTTAAAACACCGGATTTTGTTTAGAAAAAAATGAAGAAATACCAACCTAAATAATCAAACCAGTGATCGATCACCTCTCCCGCACTGTGAGTAAGCAACCGATGCATATCTCAGTTCCTTAACGTTCACCTGAGAGACATAGAGCCCCTCTCAGAGTGCTCAGTAGTAGTCGCAGAGTAGTGCATTTCAAAAATTTTGAGTCATGCATCTCCTACGATGTTACGTGTAAAGAAGCTGTACGGGTTCATGTGCCTTAATCATCCTACGCACGCACGGAATCTGTCTTCCAGAGAGAAACTATAGAGAATATGTATTAAAACTGCACTTTCAAACAGAGTATACTTGAGAGACGCTTGAGAGACGGTATACTGTAGATGATGCATAGGAATACGTTACCTTAGGGTGCAGCAAAGTCGATAATAATTCCGTCTCATTGAGATCAATAGCCCCCTTCTGAGGCTGGAGCTGCACATTGCAGTACTGGCCACGTGAGCTGACATTGCCGTACATGTCGCGCACCTCCGTCTCGATGCACTCGTCGAAAGCCCCGAGGTCGACGCGAGAAGCTTGCAGCATGCCCGTCGGGTATTTCCCGGTAGCATCGAACACTGCGTTCCCAAGCACAAGTTGTAAATAAGGTTACACCAAGTGGGACCCGACTCTGCGAGACAAATTGCACGCGAGAAATTATCACCACCACCCGCACCACTACCACAAGAAAGAAAGAAAGAAAGAAAGAAAGAAAGAAAGAAAGAAAGAAAGAAAGAAAAAAAGAAGGAAAGAAAGAAGAAAAGAAAGGAAGAGAGAAAGAAATAATGAAAGAAAGAAAGAAAAAAGGAAAGAAGGAAAGAAAGAAAGAAAGAAAGAAAGAAAGAAAGGAAGAAAGAAAGAAAGAAAGAAGTAAAGAAAGAAATAAAGAAGAAAAGAAAGGAAGAAAGAAAGAGAGAAAGAGAGAAAGAAAGAAAGAAAGGTGCTTGTATGCGTGGGCGTTCTATTTGCTAGTAAATAACGCGAATAGAATTGTAATACGAATGAAACATACACTAAATATGCCCCATTCGACAGAGAAAGATGAATTGTTGTGAGTGTTCTGAGTAATTTGTAACCTAGAAGCTTTGCGGAAATTCCAGAAAAATATGTGTGCTTTCAAAAAAAATTGAGGAACCATTCCTCTGTGAAGGTGAACGACTAGCCAAGCTGTTGCACACCACACAAGATTAAACGAAGGCACATGTGGCAGACAAGCTTTGTGGTTACTGTAACAAACACTGGCTGGTTCAGTTACAGCCTTTGTACTCACGGCCGATAATAAATCTATACACGACTGATGCGTAGTTGAGTAGCACTGACTGCATGGTGTGGAAGTTCAAACCTAGCTGTTCCAGCGCGAACTGAGTGGACCATTTCTTCATCACGGAAAATAGAAGAGGGGGCACAGTACGTAACATGGACTGGAGGAGAGAAAGACAACACAAGCGCACAAGTCCGTGTTACGACTGCGCCCTACTTCTATCTTCTATAATGAACCACAACCAACGAGCCCAAATGGCTGTTTTGGACCATTTCTTGTTTGGTTTTCGAAAAACTGAATTCAGGAACAGCGCAACCTACAAGTAGTTACTTCGTAACTACGGAAGCGAAAAAACAAGGACAGAAAAGAGCGCTGACTTTCAACAAAGGTTTAATATCGGAGGGATGTACATATATAGGCGAAAAATGAGAAAAATGGGCATGCGTAGAAGGGTGCAGGAACAACAACTGCGATACACTGTCAGCAAAACTGTTGTCTCTTGTTGAAAGGGCTGAGAAAACAACTGCATATGCAACTTAAAAAAGATCGAGATACGCAATCTCCTTTTTCAACAATGCAACCGATGGGCAGCTTACACATTTACCGTCAAACTTGTTTATTTGGTAAGCTTCAATTATCTCACGCGTGGCCTGCGAGTTGTGCTTGCTTAATACCTCGCAACGCTCAAAAACTGGCACGCAGCCGCAGTCTCTGCAGTGGATTCCGAGGTGTCCTTGAACTGCGTCGTGAACATTGTTATTGTGCTCTCTTAAACGGTCATTAAGGCACCTTCCGGTTTGCCCTATGTATACCATTCCGCACGAAAGCGGAATGAGATATACGACACCAATGACACAAGGTACAAAGCGCGTTCTGTGTTTCACAGTGCACCTTCTTTTAATGGCAGCTGGATTATTCACCAGCTTACAAAGCTTTATAAGCTTTTCTGGGGCGGAAAAAATAACAGTGACACCAGCGCGTTTACCGATTTTTCTCAGCCGATGCGACACGTAATGCAGATACGGAACTGCAACATATTTCATGGGAACAGATGCGCTTTGAGGCTGAGATCGCCCTCCTTGATATTTAATTTGCTTCAAAAGTTTTTCCGCAACAGCAGAAATCAGGGTGCTCGAGTAACCGGCGCTTAAGAGGCGCTCAACCTGTGCTTTAAAACTGCATTGCATCGAGTGCGGGCATGACCTCATGAGAGCGTTTACCAGGCAACCTTTAATGATACCCCTTTTCACTAATTTTGAATGAGCTGAGTGGAAAGGTAAAAGCGGTTTACCACTCCTCGGTGAAAATAGCCAGCACAAATGAGTACTTCTAAGACAGAGTGTTAGGTCTAAGAACCTAATCAAATTTCCAGACGGTAACTCATGCGTAAGTTCAAGAGGAAACAAGTGCTTCTTAAACAAATCTAGAAGACTATGGACAACAACTCCAAAATCAGTATCTAAACAATCAAAATTGATTTTTGAAAAGACCCACATTTATTCATTCCTGCATTATCATTATTCATTATCATTATTAGGGGGGGAAGTGCTTAAAGTCCGCTTCGCCTGTTTGTGTATATAGTTGGAAACTTCACAAACATTAGTGCTATACGCTTATGTGTCTGAAGTGTAACCGATACCGAAGCACGGAATTACATTCGACTGCGTACTATAGCTATAGCGCGCGGGAGACGGTACATTTCGTTGCACTGGAATTCACTGCGCATGTCGTGTTCCCTACTCTCTGTCTACACCCTCTCTGTATGGTCGTTACTATAGCTGTATTGCTCCGATTATCGGTAGCCAGCTTATTTCAGGTGGTGAACTTCTGATGCAATTCGGGTCGTCAAGCACGAGGTAAACTGGCAAACAGGTTCTTTTCCATGCGCATCGCGCAGCTTCAAGCTGCATACCAGCGCACAGTGGACAGCGAAGGGACCGTATGGCCGTACCTCTGTCAGAGTAAGTAATGAAATGTCATTCTGACGTAAAGCGGCTGCTTTTGAAATTTTCAATTCTATTACTTAGTTTCTGTTTGACTGCGTAGCGGTGACTGCAGTTGCTCTATTAAAAATGATGGTTCACTACTGCTGTCCTCTGTATGGAGAGGTTGAAAAAAAAAATCTCGTTTACCTCCAGCGACAGTAGGTTTCCGCTCGCTTGTGCTCACCGACATATGTGCAGCCTAATTTACCGAAAGTATAGCTTAGATTGCTTGCTCATCGGCGAAAAAAGTGTGCCATCCCAAGTAATACGTTTACCTAGCTACCATGTTGAATGTATCCTTACAGACATCCCATGCGATCCCCGTCCGCATAAGCTTTAGGTTGTCCCGGTCTGTAAAAGACGTTACCGTATGCAGGCTTTAGAAGCCGGTCACGAGAACAGTGCTTTTGTCTGCCGTATATGACTGCTCTGAGAACACAATGGGTGTTGTATACTTCTGTTGGCGTGTATATATTTGTGCACTTTATTACAGGTGCCTGTTTTCTGTGGACCACAATTTCATCGCCATGGAGCTCTCACCTACTCGTGCAGCAAGTGCATGAAATAGGCATGCACAAGGTGTCACAGATGTGGACTACATAGAACGTGCAAAATGTAACAATGGCTAAATATAAGAAGGAGCATACGAAACCGTCACACTTGCACCATTTTTTTTACGTATCTTGCTTTTCACTGAAGCAATATGCAACTATGATCAAACTGTGTACAAGCTTTATTAAAATTTCCATCACAATAGCGTAATTGTATCATATCTCTTTTCTGTCCTGTAATGATGTCAATTTCAGTATTTTATTTTGTTATATCTGCGAATGACAACTCGACACTTAGATCGTAGAGGTGGTCAGCGCCTGCTTCTTTCAGCCATGTGTTCGCGAAACGCACACCGCACGATTTAAGATACATTACAAAAATGGTAAGCTGTCAACGCGGCCAACGCGATGTGCAGTGGCAAGTGAAGGCGATGCCGAGGTGAGTTTGATGCAGCAGGTCTCTTTGGTTTGTTGCACCAATCGAGTACCAGGAAGCAAGGAGTCGTCATTCAAAGCTTATATTTTTTTCACAATCATTTGTAACACTCGTTTGCTTAAGTCCACTCAGTTATTGTGCAGTTATTCGTCGAATTCAGCGGCTTTATCAAAGGCGGGATTTCAGTCTCGGCAGTAGCTATTTTATTACGCTAAAGCGAATTGAGAAACATTGCTTAGAAGCTAAGATGCAAGCAGAGCCAGTAGCGGCCCTGGAAGAGTGAGTAGGAAGTTTTATCGCCCTTGATGCAACGATGAGCTGGCGCAAGTACGTGTGTGTGTGTGTGGGGGGGGGGGGGGGGGGGTATTTGCCAAGGTTAGACGTCCCGAACGCACATTGGTCTAGATAGCTGTTCTTAACGGGCTTTTCTCCAAAACCTGAGATGTCTCATCAAACGCAAAATTTTTACCATCGGTGTCAGCGTTCCGCGGCGTTCGGGATGAGTGAGGCAAAAAATAATCAGTCACCGATCACCATAAATTGTAAATCGTTGTGATCGTTTCTTAATCGGTGATCGCTAATCGGTGATCACATGGGACGTCTGTAAAGATACTTTCAACATGGTAGCGAGGTAAACTTATTACTTGAAATGGCACATTCTTTTCACCGCTCAGCATCTTACCCGCATACCGCATCGCAGCAGACATGAGCCACAAGCATCACGTTCACGTGCTGGCACTGTCATATTTTCCTCTTCATTTTTCTCCCGAGCAGCATCAGATAGGAATTGCCTTTCGCAAATCATTGTAGCCATTACGATTCTGCCAAACGTCTTGGAAAATGTAACCAACTTTCTCACCGAGTGACTTCACCTGGCTGTACTGTACATCCACCCCTGATCTAATACCACCCTTGAGGGATATTTGAAGAGAAAGGTGATGTTATGTGACGTAATAATTTCATCATTGTGACGCCACGTCACATCATGACGTCATCCGACACTGTAGCTAGGTCAATGATGGCTTGATCCCGGATGCAATAGAAAAACCAGGTGATGCCCTACGAATTTGGAGGCCGTTCAAAAACACGACAGAAAGCTTTCGAAGGGTGGCGGGGTAAGATCAACACATCGACTAAGAAGAAAAAAACTTATGTGGTCTCCGCCTTCGTGTCGTCAAGAGACCCCGTGAGTTTTCCCCCCCTCTCATAAATAAGTAGATGACTTTCTGACAACTTCATGAGTGATCAATGAACATCTGTCCTCGCGGCTGCGTTTGTTACAGACATTAGCGACGTCATAGCACTTAATGAGGGACCTCAGATAACCTTAATTTATCTATTCGTC